CTAGGACCATATTATTATTCCATCAATCTTTCTATTCTCAGTTCATTAACTTTTAAATTTATTTCTGGTACTGAAAGTAATAAGCAGATATGTTTTAGTTCTCCATCTCCCTATATACAAAGAACAGAAAAAGAAGACTGCATATGAAAACACTAATATCCTTTTTTTGTGGGGGGGTGTTATTTTTTTAATGTGTCTTTGACAATATTTTCTTTGTTTTTTAGCAACACTGTCACCACCCTCCCACTCTTAACTTTTCCAATTCAAAAAATAAAACTTATAACAAACAAGGGCACTGGATTGTACTGAGACTGCTTTCAACCAAATTACATGGAAACTTTGGAGTAGTTTCTACTCCGAGACTAGTATTGAATGACGACGTTTTCTGACTTTGGAACCAGAAGAACTTGTGACTTTAAAACTTCTGGGTCAGAACTGAGTGTGTATATAAAAGGTGTGACTTAACCAACTCTCAGCCTTTTTCCTTGTGGTTATACGCAGGCAGGTGGAGGGGGAGGGGGTACAGCTGGCTCCCTCTTATACCAGGACACCATGTTTCCGTGACCACATGGTATCTGTCCATTTTTTGCTTTTAGGTGAATAAATATTACAAGAGGGGTGTGTCCTGGCAACATTTATAATTTAGACATTTATATAGTACTTTAAGGTTTTTCAAGCACTCTATTGTAGGAAGAATGTGAGATAGGTCCTATGTGGAATATTTCTGTTTTTACCAATAATCGCATTTCCTAATTAAGTATCACGTGGGAAATATTAAGATCCCATCAGAGGTCAAAAATCAATGACCGGAGGTGCTAGCAGAATCTGCCAGTAGCAGCAGCTGCTGCAATGATGAAATGACCCAATAGCAACCCTGATATGGACATGCCACAGCAGCAACTTTATTAGCATTTCATGGTCTAGAAAAGTTGTGGAGAAGCAGGTGAGCAGCCTCGCCCAATAGTTACAAAAGTATCAATAACAAGGGGCCTCAAAGAAGAGATATAAGAGGACACCTTCTTCTCCCTCTCTGCAGAGGTGTGAGGAATAGAATAAATAAATAAATAAACAAACAAACAAACAAATAAATAAATAAATGGTTTTTTTTAATGTATTGGTTGGTTTTGCTAATTTTTCCCCTCTTCATCCTTTAATTCTTTTTAAAGAGGTGGCTCTATAAAAAGGGAAGGGGAAGGAATGTAAGGAGAAACCTAGGTGATATAAAAACAAGTTATCAATAAAAACCCACTACTAAAAATGGGGAAATTTCCTGGAGAGAAGTTTTAGAGGAAGAGGAGTTCCATTTTGAACATGCTGAGTTTGTGATGCCTATGGGATAGCTACGTGAGAATGTCCAGCAGGCAGCTGGTGATGAATTAGGTGATGAACTTGAATTAGGGCTGACTGCAAATTAAATAATTTTATATTTAAATTATATTTTTAACAAACATTAAATAAAAAGGTAACAACCCATGGGATCTGATGAGATCACTGGGAAAGGGCAAGATGATATCATATCCTCCCCACCTCCCACCCCTGACCCCTTGCATTATGCCACAGTTCACCCTGCTTATATAAAAGCATCTACAACTTCACCTACTAAAAAGTTTTCTTTAATGACAATTTAATCACGGTATTAACTATCTCATAGGAACTAAATAGTTCCACAATTGGAAGATGTTACGCTAAACATATACTGTTGAAAAAAAAAAAGGTCCAGAGTTCACATTTGTGTATATAATCACTCCACTTGGCTGTTTGGGATAGGTTTGACAAGGATCATAAACATGTATATTTAGAGCTGGGAGCTTAGAGGTTATCAAGTCCAGTAGTGTCAAATTCAAATAGAAATGGTGGCCATTAAACTGTACATAAGGATGTCTAAGGGCAACATATTGACTTAAAAAAATCACGTTTACATATATTTCTATTTATTTTGTTAAATATTTCCTAATTACACATTTATCTGGTTTGGGCCCACTTGGGAGTACTGCCCATCAAACCTCTGGTCTAGTCCAACTCTTCATTTTATAGATGAAGAAACTGAAGCTCAGAAATGTTAAACGACCTGCCCAAAGTCTCATAGGTATTAAGTGGGAGGGCTGGAATCTGAAGCCTGGTCCTTTGACTCCGAAGCCAATATTCACATCACAACAGGGTGCTACCTCAGCCTGCCTTTAGATACAATGTTTAATTGTATGGAGGCAAAGGGTGGATATGTAGTAGTGATGAGGTTATAAGATGCAAGCTTCAAGTACTACCAAGACGGTCAGATTCAACTGTGTGGATTTAGGAGAAAAGCAGAATTTCAATTCCTATTTTCCTGATATTACCAAGCTAAGTGATAGAATTTAAACTATTTGACGTAAAAAGGTATTTTTTGTTGTTTGTTTTTGTACCCCACTGGCAAGTAGAATGGAGCAGTTGCTTAGTAAATGCTTGTTGACTGATTCACTGAAATCTATTTCCAGAGAACAAAGATAAAGAGTCAATCTTGCATCTCTGAATTATGACACAAATTTTTTTTAAACTAGCAGTAAGTTTTTGCTTTAAGAAGGTAAAAAGCATTAAGGATGATGCAAGGATTAGATTCTCCCACTTACTTCCTGATCCTTGACCAGGAAACTACCAATCAACACATGCAAAGCACAAAGAGATAAGTTATAAGAGTATAGTAAGAAAGAGAATAGGACCTGGAATACGGACACACCTGGATTCAAATCTCAGATCCCACATTCTGCTAGCTTAGAGGAAATGGGATGGATCATCAGTAAAAACAGAAATAATTCATGTAGGACTTATCTCACACTCTACCTATAACATAGTACTTTAAAAATCTTAAACTATTATATAAATGCCTTCCATGATTATTATGCAAATAAATTAATATAGTATTAGAGCCTTTATGGATACAAAGTTTTGGAGTTAATATATTTTACTTATTTGAAGAGACCTAAATCAACATATATATTTCTACCCTCTTCATATCATATTCTTTCAAAATGCAGATGGTAAAGAACACAGCTTCATTTCCTACCCAGTGCAATTCTTCTTTTGCAATACTACAAATTACTATGGAACCTTAAATAACTTTAGTAGTAATACATATGGCAAGGAGACAAACATACTGTATTTATTTTTAAGACATCTGAATAGTGGGAAAGCTGACATCTTGTGGTGAGAAGGGGAAAAGACAACCGTACGGAAATAAATATTTTCTTTCTATAATTCTGCTCACATTACAACTGTTCTCTACAATGAATGCATTCCACATTGTTTCCATTGCTCCCTTGTGACTTTTTTGAAATGCCTAAAAACAGATACCAATCCAATAAAAGGCCTTGTTTCTTAACAATCAAGACAAACATCTGTTTATAAATCGTTCATTTTCAAGATATTTCCATATGTGAATTCCAGATCCTACATAAACCTTAATTCCTTGCTAAATCCCACCAACTTTTCCTGATTTGTATTCCATGGCTATTTTTCAACATATAGTGCTCCCAAGGCAATAGTCCTAATAACACTAATGGAAATAGAATTAGGTTCTGCACTATCTCTTTATATAACTCCCTCGCACCATGACATAAGAAACAAAGCCTGAGTTCAGATTTTGTTACTGACCTCTTTTGAAGACAATCCATTTCGATGCTTTAAGATTTCCCCCCTATGATTTATAACAAACCTCCATTTCACTGATACTTATAAAAAGTTATATAGGGGGAGTGGCATAAAGGATATTAGAGAGATTACCAGAAAATAGCTTTTCATGTACCAAAAGTGAAGTGTAATCAATGCTTTGCTTGTATGGTTCATTTGTTTAAATGCAATGTCCAAAACCTAAAAGATCCCTAAAATGATGAGTATGGAGGCTTAATGGGAAAACAAGAACAAGAGTCTCACAGGTTGATTAAGTGTAGATGAGTTCTGATCCGCACTGGTTGAAATCACAGACTCATCATATTAAAATTATGAATAGTCTACAATAGCTTAAAATTCTTTGTAGCTAAGAAAAATAAAACTGGTATGTACATAAAGTTTGAGACTTTAAAAAGTCTCCCCAAAAGACTAAAAAATGAAAAGCTGACCGACTCTAGGCCCCCTAAAGAAAAAAAGTATGACCTCAGTTTAACTTGTCTCCAGGAAGAGAAATTATATGCATCATGTAGCTGGGGCACAACTTTAAGTAAAGCAAGGTTACTGAGTCAATGTGTTATGAATGACATTTGTGTAAATTTAAAATACAATTTCTAATTTTGATAAACCCTTTCTTATGTTATTAGGCTGTTTTTCCACTGATAATTGATTTGGTCAACAATTTAATAAACACTTACTATGTGCAGAGCAGCCCACCTATTCACCAAACCTTTCCCCCTCAGCAAGGCTTTGTTGGGCTGGGTTGGGAATTCAAGAGATGAAAGCAAACACAGGACTAGGAAGAAAAGGAAACTCTAAAGAATCTGGAAAAAAGAAGGCTGGGCAACCAAGTCAGTTGAGGGTTGGTAAAGAAGGGGGATTAACTGTTTGGCTTACATGATACGTGCTGAAAACTGACAAAGAAAAAATTCATTTTAGACTAGGGGTTCTTAAACTTTTTTGTGTCATGGATCCCCTTTGGCAGTCTAGTGAAGCCTACTGATTCCCTGTCAGAACATTTTTAAATTTATAAAATAAAATATGTAAGATTACAAAGAAAACCAACTACACTGAAATAGTCATCAAAATACTAAAAAATTCATAGACCTCAAGTTAAGAACTCTGGAATCGGATCATTCACCAGGTGGCTTTACCTTTCATAATCTTAACTCTTAATTTGAACTGGATTTAAAAAAAAAAGAGAGAGAAGAAAGAAAATAGCTTAGTGGAGTTTGCCAAAATCATGCAAACCTTTAAGTCACAGTTTTCAAATATGATTAAATTTAGCTCCCCTTCCCATTTGAAAGTATTTCTCATTTTTTAATACTTTTGGTTATCCGATTATCAATGATAAGTCTCAGAAATTATTCTTCCAACTCAATGTTTTATTGCCCAGTTTGTTATTACTTCCATAAACAACTTAAATTGACTACCTGAACTATAAAATGAAGTTATTAACCGAATCTCTGAAACATTAGAAAAAATTTAAATTTCTTCAGACAATATCCTAGAAGATTTAAACCATACCAAAAAAACTTGACTAAATTCACAACATTTCTTCTGAATCTCAATAATAGGACAAAGAATCACAAATCAAATGGTTTAGCACAGAAGTTTACAGCATTAAATAAATCTCTAATCTTAGTACTCAATTAAAATAGAAATATTAATAGCAGCCTTAGCAATAATGTGAAAGATTGAAAAAGTTCATTTACATTCTTGGTTCCCTTTTTACCTACTATACAAATTTTCATTCTAATTCTAAAACAAAAGTTAGGGGGTGGGGTTAAAGGTATGTTCACTTTCAAATGTTTTGAGTGTTGTATCCAGGAGATAAAATACTTCTAATTTAAACTAACACTGAAAATCCAATAAGCACAGCAAAAAATGAATCTTCTACTGATGTAGAATATATTAAACATGGTTCATTATGAAATATAGATATACACGAATGTTTTCTTTGGTGTAAAAACTAGCTTCACCTAGGAATATCTCACACCATCTATAACTGAATTGGGACATCTTACAGAGTTATCTGAAGGTCAGATAAGAGAGGTTAAGTGATTTGTCCATGAAAGTTTGTCAAAAATCTAGAAAGGGTACTGATATTCTACTATCTGAATACCAAAAAAAAATTTTAAAATAAGTTTTACTGTATCTGAATAACAATTTTTAGGGGATTCATTAAAATCAATATTGTACTTACTTCTATATTTTAATATGGCCAATTCAATTTGAGGTATACAAGCTCAATAAAATACCCAAGAAGGAGGAATTCCCAAAATTTCAAATCAACTGCAGTCCATCTCCTCACCCCAAAATGAACTCCAATACACTAATTTTATTTAACTCTTGTACTCTGCCCTGTCAACCAAAACTCTACCTTTTCGACCAAAAGTTGACAACATATTACAATGAAAAACGAAAGACAACCCAAGTACAATTTGTTTTTTAATAAAGATAATTACAAAAGATGGAAAATCAGCTCAGAAAGGCAAATTACGTCTTTAATAGATCAGTTTTTAGACATAACATAATAACTCACATCAATTTTAAATACTATCACATAAAGCATGGTGGAGAAAGAAATTTTGCATCATAATTAGAAAAACTCACAATACAACTTGCCAACAACCAAAAAAAAAAAAAAAAGCCGTTTTGAAAATAAATACAGTCCATGCCAAGTAGTACAAAATGAAGTCAGCAGTCTCTTTTGAAAAGAAACCTGTATTTTTTTTCTCCCAATATTTTCCCAATTTAGTACTTTTTCCTGAAATTGGTGTGAGGCTCTCTAATTCAAGGATTGCTGAGCTGTTCCGATTTGGCTCTGTTCAAAAGACAAAATATAAAAATGGCACAATTTTAGTTTAAATGTACTTTGACTGAACTAACTATATACAACAAAGCAAATATTTCAGTGACAGAAAATGTCTTTGTTCATTTTTTGTTCACTTAGTTCTTTTCATTAAATTCTGAGAGCTGGAACTAGGAATGGTAATTGATTTTGTAAAGCCTACCATGGTTTATCATGAGTTGATGTAGATGCTTTCTGAATATATGATACTAGAAATTCCATAGTTGTATTCATCATTCCTACTGTATATTAATCTTCGTGAGTAATTTTAAACTTTTATTTGAAACTTAGCCACATTTAACTCATAAGAGATTCAATTAGTACTGGGTTACCCTTTGGTGTCTGTCTTTTCACCACTGTTGTCCTTGGACTTCTCCTCTTCTTTAACATCTAAAAATAAAAGATCAAAAGAAATGTACAATAAATGCAAATAGCTGACATAGGAAAGCTAGTAAATAAAAGAAAATAGGAAAGAAAACAATCCTATGTCCTCTTAAAACTATCACCGAATAAACACAAACTTTAAAGATCTCTGCAACTGAAACCTCACAATTCTTATATCCATGTCACCTATGTTAAATACCTTATTTAATTTCCATTCAAAAGATCAAAAAGTAAAATAAACCAAAGAGTTAAATAAAAATTTCAACATGGAAGATAAAGTGAGATGTTAAGTCTTGGGCTGTAATCAAGCTTTACTCGAGGTAGTTACATCACATGGTCGGCAAAACAATACACACACACACACACACACACACAAAGATGTAGATACATATACATACACACATATAAACATACATACACATATATACACATACAAAGATATATGCTTATTCTACTCCATTCCCTTCCATGTGCTTAGTGCAGTGTTTGGCACATAGCAAGCACTTAATAAATGTTTACTGAATTGAATATATAATGAACTCTGTTGATGTGCTTCAATTGCCCATTTTATTTTGGCTTTGGAGACTATGAATTGTTAAAATGAGATAACGTATACTTTTTTAAAAAAAATACTGATTCTTCAAAAGTGAGAGATGTGCCTCACTTTTTGGCCAGTTATTTACTTAGCACAACGCCCTATTTTGAGTACTGCTGTAATTGAGTTCATGTCACTTCAGAGATGAAATATATCCCCTTAACAAATCTATCATTTACTACATTTTGAAGACCACCGAGTAACCTGCTTTCTTGTCCTCTGTTTCCTTCTTATCCTCTTCTATCCTTGCTTTCTTCGCTCCTTTCTTATGATCAGCCACATTTCTACGCCCTCCTTCCCCTTCATCCTCGGAATCCGAAAATTCTTCATCACAAGCTATCCGTTTGTCTGATGCTCGAACTGAAACACAATGTAAAGGTACATATTACATTGTGGCAAATAGCAAGTATAAAATTTGTATTCATTATATTCCATTAAGCTTCAAGTACAGATTTTATTTTAATCTAAGTTATAACCAAAGTATAAATAACACAAAATGCCTATAACATACATGGACACCTTAAAATTCCAGAATTAGGCCACGTTTCTCTCTCAATAAATACTAAAACACACTTTAGTACCAGGGGTGAAAACAGTTTAAGGGAAATAAAAAGAAATCTAGAAAGCTGGAAAATCTAGGGACTTTCAAAATACAATTTACAATGAGAAATATTCTTACGTTGCTATTCTGTATGTTATTATTATTATTATTATTATTATTATTGTTATTTAAAGACAAATAGGTATAATGCTAAGAGGGGTTTTAGAAATCAGAACAGGAAATGCTCAATGTAATAACATATTTAAGAGGTAAATAAGATGACTACTGACACATAACAAATGTTTTAAAATGTTAGCAGCAAATCTTTTTGAACATTAAAAATTTAAAAAAATATGTACAACAGTTTGTTGAAACATCTATTTTCTGATTAAGCATAAAATTCTACTCAAGTAGGTTTTGAATCTTTTAAGGAAGACAATGCAACTCAGTTTGTTTGCAATGAGAAACAAACTTTTTTTTCTAAAAAAGAAAAAAATCCTCGAATTCAATCTCTATCAAAGTTCTTGGTACATAAGCCACTTTCAAATATGTTGAATAATTAAGAAAACCTAACACAATTTTCATAATATTTTAATAGTATTAGCTTACTAGAAATTCGTTTGTCTGGATCTTCTCCATCTTCATCCCCACTGTCTTCATGAACAGCATCTTCAGGGATGGCTTGCATCTGCACACCAGGCGCATGAGGTAACATGCGCAAGTTTTCAAATAAACGCTGTCTATATTGCACAAGGAATAGTCATTCAAATAATTCATTTTTTTCATTAGTTTCTAATATATTTTAAAAGAATCTTAAGCAAGAAGATATGCAATCTTTTAAAGCTTGGGTATCTATAAATTGACACACTAGATATATCTGGAAGTTGTATTGGTTATATTTTTCTATCAAAAGTGATCATATTCTAGTATTCAAATTTCAATAGAGAGTTATCCAAAGTACACAGAAAAATTGTACACATAGGAGTCATACTAGGTTACAACACAGGAAACACTAAGAAATACTTGGGTTCAAATCTATACATATTTAATTTTCTTTCTTTCTCTTTAAATTGAATGGGCTTAACTGTAATCCAACTAATAGATCAATATATGATTTCATATTACTTCAAAAGGAAACAGTTTATTTGTATGATTAGCCCTATGCTTTAATATCCAATGACTTTTAAAAATATCGAAACTGAATAAAAGCTGCATTTCTTTTCATATAAAAGCCTTCAAGACGATGCTAAAAACAGAATCAGTCAATATTTGCTATCTATACCATTGGTGATATTCAAAATAAACATTTATAGGTCGGAGCATACTCTTTAAAAAATTACATTCAGATTCATTATATAATATTCATATTAAGAATTGGCTTTCTTGACAGGGTAACATCTAAATTTTTAAAAATTTCATTGGTCTTAACTAATATCTTTATTATATGGAACTTATTTATACTGAAAATTACGAAGTTCATAAGAAAAATATCATCATTATGTCAACTAATGAGATATTTGCAGTACGCATTGCCAATTTAAAACAGTATTAAAGGAGAATGGGAAAATCTGGCTATTAGGCATGTATATCATCATTAAAAAGCAATCCTCACCTAAATCTCAGTTTATGTTTCATTAATGGATTTCATTAAAAAGCAATTTCCTAATACTTTCATCAAAGTTATAACAGTATAAGAATGTTAATTCATGAAACACTGAAAATGTTTCAAAATAAACTGATAAAATAATGCTGTAAACCTATTAAGGTGGTAAAATTTTAACTCAACTTTGTTGACTTCAAGTAGACCAGTTTCAATGTTGTTTCAAATTTTCAGTGTTTCAATATTTTATATAAAATTTTTCTAAGTTAATAGTCAATAAAGCCTAGTTATATTAATATTACTTAAAGACTATTTACAAGTACCTTCACATATTTCATTGTTTAATTTCATACTTGCTAGATTTTACAGAGAGAGGTTTTGTCTACAAATCTGAATCTCTAGACTTGGAACCTCAGAAGAAGTGGTCAAACCTGTACTTGAACAGAAATCCCCTAGAATATACCCAAGAAGTGATCATTTGCCATTGAGTGAGAAAGAAAGCACTGTCCTCTGAAAGGGTTCATTCTAGGCTGGAACAGTTGGTTCTATTTGTTAATTGAGTGTCAATCTGTCTCTCTGCAACTTCTGTCTACTGTTCTTCTTTTTGCCCTCTAGCAAGAGGCAGAACAAGTCAAAAGCCTTCCTAGGTATTAGCCATTTAGATATACCTGAAGATAGTTGCTGGTTTTTCATAGTTAAATGTTTTTCTTGATTCTGTCAGTCCCATATCTTCTTCTCTTTTCTATGTATACTGATATCTATCTATCCAGATATTTATATCTATATATATAAACATATAACATATGTATGTCTCTCTAAATGTACATATATATGTAGTGTATCCACAGTTTCCTCATCTCTTTATATAAGGTATTATTTTTGATGCATCAATGCTTTATTAGATTTATGAGGTTTAAAGATCTTAAATCTGGACCCAATTCGACCACAAAGTTAGGGCTTATAATTGTCAAGTCCAAAACTGGACTTGGCACTATAAGATGCATGTTTACCTTCCTATTAACAATAAATCTTAACCACTGATAGAGATATTATTCTCAAGGTCACTCAGTCAGAATAACATTTTCAAGTAAGGACTAGATGACCACTTGTCAGATATGTTATAAAGGGGTTTCTTATTTTACTATGGGTTGAAGTAGATGGTCTCCGAAAATTCTCTGAAAAAAACAAGTTTAATGATATTAAGTATAATGGAGAAGTAAAAAGTGGGAAGAATATAAATATAGGTCATTATCTAACACTGATGTCTAAGTTTTACAACTTAAAAAGTTATAAAGGATTAAAATATACAAAAGATACTTTGAAAAATGTATTTGCATATGTATGTACCAAAAATTTTATTTTGTCAAACATTTAACAAAATAAACCATTTCAATCACTACTTACTTGATCTTCTCCATATACTCTGGGGTATTCTGATTTGTCATATTTGATGGACTAATGTGCAGTTTAAAGTCCGGTCCAAAATACTCAAAGTAATCATTGTATGGCAACTCTATTAAAAACAACAAAACAAGTTACAGATACAAAGCTGATCTTTAATGCAGACATAGTAAACATCCAACAGACCTAGAATTTAAAAATATTTCTTAGAAAATTACGAGAATAATCAGGACCACATACGGCAGGTTAAGTTCCAAACAAGTTCATACAAGTGAAATGCAATAGTATAGGAAAACCTAAAATACAGCAATAATTAATCTCTTAATATTGAAGTCCAAATCTTCTATAACAAGAAATTTGAGCTACTTTAGTCACTATTCCTCTATTAGTAACCTGAACCATTTGGGAATGTTGGGAGAAAAAAGGAAGGGAGCCAAGAGGGACGAGACATATGATTTCATTAGGATAAGGAACTTTTAGTGAGGAAATTCCTTCTGTCAATGCAGTTGCCTTATAACATATAGTGTTAGTTAGTTAGTGCCTGGGGTCACTTAGAGGTTAAATGACTTATTTGCTAGTCACACAACTGGTATGTGTCTAGAGGAATACTTCAAATGCAGTCTTGTTGACTTTGAGATCACCTCTTCAGCCACTGTCACAATACACCCACCTCTTTCATCTATCCCCCCCATTTTTTCAAGCTAACTGAATATGAACTATTATCACATTTGGTTCAAAGAGCATCTATTAAGTACTTACTATGTACAAGGTTCTGTTAGGGTCTGGGAATATAAAGATAAAGTGAAAAAAGTACTGTAAACATTTTGAAATGTAATATCACAATATTAATTTCATTAAGCCATATCCTTTTTTTTTTTTTTTTTTTGGTGAGGCAATCAGGGTTAAGTGACTTGCCCAGGGTCACACAGCTAGTAAGTGTCAAGTGTCTAATGTCAAATTTGAACTCAGGTCCTCCTGACTCCAAGGCTAGAGCTGTATCCACTGCGCCACCTTGCTGCCCCAATTTCATTAAACCAAAATACAGAACTTAATTTACAAGACAGTTTACAACATCCAACACCATTCATCGTTCACCAAGCATTTATTAAATTTGTATAGGGAGGAGACAACATGCAGAGAAGAATACATAAAATATATACAAATAAATATAAGTTAACAAAAGATGGGGTGTAACCAACACCTGGGAAATCAGGGTAGGATGGTGTAGGATGTGGTGCCTGAACCTGGCAAGTAGCTAGGAATTCTAAGAGGAAGAATTGAGAATAGAGTACATTCCAGGGACAGGGCACCCAGCCTATGCAAACAGATGGAGAGAGATGACAGGATCATGAGGGATCACGGAAGGACCATCTAATCCAACTCCCTCATTTCACAGATGAGTTGTGATGTCTTGACTTGCCCAAGTACTGGATTCAATTGAGGCAGAGTCACATAGTCATCAGCTTCAGTCTCTCTTCATGAGTCATCAAAGTCCAGGACTTTGTCCAGGTAGGACAAAAGTCACAATGACTGGCAATGGCCTGGGGTTCAGTGGCACCTTGGCATCTTTGATGCTTGACCAACTAAGCATTCCACAGTGCCTGCTTCAACCTCTTTTGTGGCCATTGGAACAAACTGTTCTCATCTGCCCATTCTGCCAGGGAGTCTTCACATGCTTGGGGCAGACATCCTCCTAACTCACCAACTGGTTTGAGGCCTGTTGCACTGAACTGTCAGGAGTTACTGTCATGAGTAAGGAACAATGCCAGTCTGGCTGGCCCATAGGAGCGTGTGACTGGGAGTGATGTATAAGACCAGAAAGGAGACTGGAGAGTGGAGACAGGCTACAACAGATGAGTAAACTGTGGCCTAGATAGATTAAGTGACTTGACCAAGATTACAAGAATTAAGTAGCAGAACCAGTATTTGAAGCCAGGTCCAATCCTCTTTCCACTACATTAAACTTTCAGGAGTTGTTCATCCATCATTTTTTTTTCTTTTTTTTAGGCAATTGGGGTTAAGTGACTTGCCCAGGGTCACACAGCTAGTAAGTGTCAAGTGTTTGGTCTGAGGCCGGATTTGAACTCAGGTCCTCCTGACTTCAGGGCCGGTGCTCTATCCACTGCGCCACCTACCTGCCCCTCATCTGTCATTTCTGAAAAGGACCAATGACATCACAGGTGATATCTTGACTTGCCTATGAATTGGACTTAAGTGAGGCAGAGTTGTATAAAGTCGTCAGCCTCACTCTTGATAAGTCATCCAGTGGCAGGACCAAAGTCAAGATGATTGGCAATGGCCTGGGATTCAGGCATCTTTGATGCTTGACCAACTAAGCACTCCATAGCACCTATTTCAGCCACTTTCATGGCCACTGGAACAAACTGTTCTCCTATGCCCATTCTGCCAGGGAGTCTTCTCATGCTTGGAGTAGCCATCCCTCTAACTCACCAACTAGTTTGAGACCTGTTGGTTACCCACTGCACTAAACTGTCAGGAGTGAACTGTCATGCATAAGGAACAATGCCAATCTGGAAGGCCCACAGAGAGTGTGAAGGGGAATGACGTAAAAGGTCCGAAAGGAGAATGAAGGTAGGCTGCAAAGGGAACAGAGACAGATATCCCACATGGAGCCTTGGGATAGAACAAGGGAGATAATTCAACATATGAGACTGAGAATAAGCCAGACAGGTAGGAGAGCCAAGGAAAAACAGTGTCAGGAGAACCCAGGAAAACATATCTAGGAGAGAGCAATTCCCTTTTTACTTTTAGATTCTTCCTCTACCTTATTCCCTTTTACAATCCAAACACACTGCCTAAGTTGTTTTTCACACAGGACACTCCATCTATCTCTGAGTCTTTCCACAAGTTGTGCCCCATATCTGGAATGTTCTTTCTCTTCAGTTCTGCCTATTTTCCCTCTCCCTATTCTAATAATTCCTATTCTTCTATGCTAAGCACTTGCTAGATTTGAAGCAAGTCTTTCTGACTCCGAGTGCAGTGTTGTATTCACTATACTACTGAACTGCCTATTCTCTCACTATTTGAACTAAACCTAGCCTCTTAACCCCATCATCGATCCATCCTGGAATGAGTATCAAATAAATTCTGCCATTATTTCTGTAAGGGATGTGTTGATCTATTCCCCACAGACCCACTTACCATCCCAGTTAACATTCTGAACCAAAGTGCTACCACCTACCTCTATTTCCTTAAATGATTGTTATTTTACCCAATTAGAATTCAAGCCACCTTGAAGGTACTGACTGTCTTTGCTTTGGTACTTGTATCCCCAGTGCTTAGAACATGCTTGTCATATAGTAAGTGTTTAATAAATAGTTAATGATATAGTTCATCCATTTATCCTTGGCTTCCCTGGCTTTTTTAAGCCTCAAGTCAAATCCTACCATCAAGAGGCTCACAGCTGCTAGTGACTCTCCCTCTAAGATTCCATGTATTCTCTGTTATGCATATGTGTGTATGCATATATGTGCACATATATTGTACCTACTTATTTTCATGTTTGTAGGGAAGAGAGGGAAATAAAATAATAACTAGCATCTATATAACGTTTTAAGGTTTGCAAAAAAAAAACCCCATATATTTTCATTTGAGCAATTTGTTTTCAATCCAACTTTTGTTTCATTCAAATACTCTTCTGTTCACTAAAAATAATTTCTTACTGGTGAATGTCTTATAAGTATATCCTATAGCACTCTAAGATCCTTTATCAATGGTAAAAAAGAATGGCAAAACAAATGAGTGTTCTTTCTTTTACAGCACACTGACAACTCCTCAGCACATTCATCCTCTAACTCAGGAGTTCTTAACTTGGGATCTGTGAACTTATTCTTTTCAATAATTTGATAACTGCATTTTAATATAATTGATTTCCTTTGTAATGCTATTTATCTTATTTTATACATGTAAAAACATTATTCTGAGGTTGTCTACAGGCTTCCCCAAACTTCCAAACAGTTCCATGACAAAGAATGTGAAGACCAGTAAGAGCTAAAGGCTTCATCCTCCTCTTTATTCTGAGCAAGGATTAATCATAAGTAATTTTATCACTATTTAACTGGGTAATAATACTTGCCATTTGGAATTTCACAATCTAAGGCAACAGCAGTTTCATATGTCCAACACCGTGCAACATTACGGATTGTGTAACCGCCTCCTCCAAGCATCAATAGGGGCAAATTGAAAGTTTTTACAACTTCTACACATTTAGCATGACCTGATACAAAGACAAAAGATATATAAATTAGCAGTTTTACTCACAAAATAAACCATAACATTAAAAAAAAAAGGTAAGCAGCCAAAATAGTCAAAATCGTTTTCAAACATCATATTTAAACTTTACAAGGATTTTTTTATTTTAAAACACTTCAAACATATAATCACTAGAGGTGATTTCTACTGCTTCAATCAGAGCCAAAAGTACCCTCAAAGGTCATCTTGTCAAAAACATACCTAACCAGGAACCTCTTCGACAGCATCTCCAATAAGTAACCAAGATTTTATATGAGAGAACCTATTAGCTTCCAAGGCATCCCATTTCACTTTGGGGTGGGGGGAAATTGCACTGTTTATATGGAAAAATACTTCCACTTCATTGGAAACTTCATTGTCACTAGACCAGGATTTTTTAACTGAGAGGTCTGTAAATGTATTTCCAACGTAGGTTCTTATTGATATATTTTGTCTATTTTTAAAAATATGACCATAGTTTTCTTCAGTTCCCAAACCTCTCCTCCATGCTTTCCCAGAGGCATTTTAAACACCCCCCAAAAAGAATTATTTTGTCAGTATAATTGACCAATATAATGAAAATATGTGCAATACATAATGCTAGTGGAGCCTGTCTTTGGAAAAGTGGTGGAGTGTTTTCTTACCTCTCTTTGCAGCCAATTTATTCTAATTTCACAAAATTCATTTTGGACTTTTTTTGGGTTGTATTTTTTCCCATTTGCATTGTTGTAGTCATTGTGTTATTTTTTTTTCCTTAGCTCTGCTTGACTTCATCAATTCATGTAGACCATTCTATGCTTTTCTGAACTTATCTCTCATCTTACAGACTATATTATATTCACATACCCTTATCAATGAGCATCCACTTGGTTTCCAATTCTTTGCTATTTCAAAAATTGCTGCTATAACTTTAGTGTATGTGGGCACTTTGTTCTTATCAAAGACCTCCTTGAAACATAAGCCTAGTTGTGCAATCTCTGCATCCAAATATATTAACATTTTTGAAACTGTGTTATTTGTGTAATTCCAAAATGGTTGTACTGATTCACAGCTCCACCAACAATGTTAGTGTCTATCTTCTCACAACTCCTTCAACACTGACTTCTCATCTTTTTTCTAATTTGTAATGAGGTGAAATGTCAGAGTTGTTTTGATTTGCATTTCCACTACTAGTGATTTGGATTATTCTCCCATATGGTTAGTATTTGGCAATTCTTTTGACCACTTATCTATTGAGAACTGGCTTTTGGTCTTCTTTATATGCAAAGGCACATATATATATATATATAGACAGATAGATAGATAGATATGTGTACATACATACACATATCTCAATTATTAATATATCTTGGATAACAAACTCTTATCAGAAAAATTTGAGTTTTCCCCTATTTGACCATTAAATTGATCCAACGTGCATTTTTGTGTGAAATTTTCCACCTTCATGTAATCAGTTACCTACTTTATCTTTTGTCATTGCAACTATCCCTTGGTTAAGAATATATTTGCTACATACCACTGCAAAGGAATACAATCTGCTTCTCTCCTTATTTTTAAATAGTATAATCTTTGATATCAAGGTAATTTAGAATGTATCATGGAATATGGTGCCAAAGTATAATTTCTGGCAAACTGCTTCCTAGTTTTCCCAGTGTATTTATTTTTCAAAATCAAGTATTGAGTTCTTTCCTAACAAATGTTTTATTAAACATGTTTATTGAGTTCTAGTGTTTCTGATTCTTTCTTGTATTTCACTAGCTACCTCTATTTTAAACCAAGAGATGGTTTTGAAGACTAGTCTTTTATATGATAATTTAAGCTGCTACTCCCTCTTCATTTGTACCCATTTCTTTTACCTCCCTTGATATTATAGAACACATTAAAAAAAAAGAATTTATTTTTTGAGTTCTGCAAAGTATCCCTTTGATAACTTGATTAGTATAGAATACTATAAACTAATTTTGGTGATATTGTCCTCTATTACACTGGCACAGCACTTAAATTCTAGCCTTAAAGGAGTACTTTGCAACTCAACCTATGCAAGTATTTTGTGTGCTTTGGCACTGTGATCCCCAGTCACACTATTTTGTAGTTATTTGGAATAGCTTCCTCCTTTCTATTTTTATCTCTTTAGACTTTGTTATTATTCAGAAACAGCTGATTATTGAAAGTCTGAAACTTTGCTTGTTATTGTTTCAATTAATACTTCTGCTGATTTCTTAGATGGTGGTGGTTGTTCTGTCATTTCAGTTGAGTCTGACTCTTGGTTACTGCATTTGGGATTTTCTTGGCAAAGATACTGGAATGGTTTGCCATTTCCTTCTCTGGCTCATTTTACAGATGAGGAACTGAGACAATGTTAAGTGACTTGCCCAGGGTCACACAGCTAGTACATGAGGGTAGATATGAACTCAGGAAGGAATTCACTCTAACCAATGTGCCACCTAGCTGGAGACACCAGCAAACAGGGATCCTTATGCGTTTACTTTCCTCATTGCCATTGTTAGCATCTCCAAAACTGTATCAAATAATAATGGGCACCACTGTTATACTCTAGTATTTAAATGGAAAAATTTGTATATATTTCTGCTATCATTATGCTGCTTGCTTTTAAACATTTTATGACATTAAAAAAGCCCTTCTATGTCCATTGTTTGCAGAGGTTTTAGCATAAATGCATACTGTGCTCTGTCAAAGGCTTATCCCACATCTACTGATGATGTGGGATTTTAAATGTTTGTTTTCAGGTTGAATAGTTTTTCTTTCCCTAATGCTGAGAACATCTTTACATCCCTGTTATAAATCCAATTCCATCATAATGATTTCTTAGATAAAGCAATGGAATAGGACTGGCCAGGTTTTACTAAAATTTTAAAAATCAATATTCACTAATAAACTTCCTATAGTTATCTTATCCTTTCTTGATTTAGCTTAGAATTTAATTTCTTTCATAAAAGAAATCTGGTAGAATACTTTCTCAATTTTGAGAATGTAAGTAATGTGGACATTTTCAAAAGGTTTGATAGAAATCTGTGAATCCATCAGGAGCAGTTTTTCTTTGGTAGTTCCTATATACCTAGTTTCATTTTCTTCCTGAGATAGGGTTGTTAAAATTCTCTCTTTGATCTGTTAATTTCTCTATTTTTATTTTGAAACTATCCCTGTTTCTTGTGTTGTTTTGCTAGCACACTGTTTCTAATGTGTCAATTTTATTAGTCTTCTCAAAAAAACCCAACACTTAGTTTGATCATTAATACAGTATTGTTTATAGTTTATCTATTTTCAGCTTAATTTTGATATCCCTCTTTTGAATTTACTTTAGCTTTGTTAACTTTCAAAAATGTATATTCAGTTTATTAATAATCCATTTTTATTTTATCTTTCCCCAAGCATTGCATTAGCTGCACCCCAGAAATTTTGGTATGTTGTTTCATCATTATAACTTTCTTCCAAGTAACTGTTTCCATAATTTGTTCTTTAACCTACTTTAGGATTTTATTGAGTCTCCAGTTGGTTCCGTATTATGGTCTCTGAATTATTTTTACTGTATTATGCTACGTAAATAACGTATCACTTATATTTTTTAACGTATGTAACATCTCTATGCCCTAATTAAAATGGGGTAAAATTTATAAAAGTTTCAACTGGTGGTCAGAAATAAATACATTCTTTAGTAGTTGCATACAGAAGACATTTTAAGTCTTTTAGCTGGTTTGTCCAGCAACACATTCATTTCTCTATTTTCCATTTCTTTCTCTTAAACTTATTCAAAATCAAGACATAAAAATGTCCTGCCACCTATGGTACTATAACCTCTTATAGTTCAGTTAACTTGTCTTTTTTGGATTTATATGCAAAGTCATTCAAAACATTTAAGTTTAATATTGATATATGGCTATTTTAGCATAATGTAGTTATCCCTTTTTGTTTTCAATGAACTTACTTTTGTCTGACATCATGATTGCAACTCCCGTTGTTTTGGAATTTGTCTAATGCCTAGTAAATTTTTTTCCTAGTCCATATTTATAATATGTATGCATTTTAAAAACTTTCTTCTTGTAAGCAACAGATTGTGAGAGTTTTGTTTTCTTGCATAATCTGTCACTTTTATTGGATTCTTCAAACACTGTTTTGTTACCCCATTTTCCAGTTTTGGAGTATTCCCTAACTTAAAAGTTCCTTTAGCTAATTCTAGCTAGCTAATTATTCTTCCATTTCTCCCTCCTCAGCTAAATAGTCAAATAAAATGTCCCTTGCCTCCCTTCTTCCTTTCAACAAATTGTTATTTTACATTTTTATTTTCACCTTTTTCTAAAAAGGATCTTTCTTGCCTATCCTAGATTTTTGTTCTTTGATTTATGGTTCTTATACTTAATTAGTCCTTTATTAACATTATTCTGAGAAGGGGTTCATAGACTTCACTAGACTATTAAAGGGGCCCACAACAAAGGTTAAGAACCCCTGGAGGAGAACAAAAAACACTTGCTCAACCTGTAACCATTATCTATTAACATATAACTTTTGTATCACACATCTCCTAGCTTATACACTTTAATCAATCTCCTACTTTTGAAGTACCTTCATTTGATTTTTCTGTATTGTCAAGTTTATAAATTACTTGGCTATAATCAGGATAGAAGAGCTTCACTGTAGCACCCAGTGTGCTTCTCCAGTCTAGCTCTTCTCTTGTAGCCATAAATAATAAAGAACTGCCTTGGGTAAGCTAGAAAAATGAAAAGTGGTAGGTCAATTCTTTAAAAATGAGTATACTTGGGCTATCCATCTATCAATGTTTATGTACTACCAGCCTGTTTCCTTTTCTGATCAAATCTCCAAGATGATATTTTTCAAGCTACTCCGTAATGTGTAAGTCACTTGTGGTAATGCTAGGGGGCTACTAATCCCTGTCTCTCCATTTTCCTTTGAGTCACCTGAAATTTTGAATATTAGAAGATAAGGATGCTTCATGATTTACAGCTATCTAAA